ACGCTCTTTGAGCACAGTCGGTAATTATGGTTCTTCTAATGAGTACCATCGTGCTTGAGATTTTTCTTCGTGAATTATGGCCCTCCATAAATCCTTACACCTGTAATAGTTATAAGCTAATTAATTATCTCTGTGATTCCTGCCAAAACATGCCTGTGTAATGGAAGCTCCATCCGTCCAACAACTTCTGTAGTCATTCCAAATGTACCCGTTTCATGTATAGCCTGGACACATTCAATCAGGAAACAAAATTATAAAATGATCTTGTTTACAGGCAATGGCAGTGTCTAACAGGCTTTAGCTAAGCCATTAGCCAAGCGGCCTTGTAAAAATCATTTTGTGGCCCAGAAATGTAACTGTAAACTCTCGCCCAGCACAGTAGTTGAGGCTGCTGACTGGCCAGAAGTACGGTAATGGGCGAGAGTTGACAGTTAAATTTCTTGGCCAGGATGAATCATATATGCTTCCGCTTGAGTATCAATTAGCGTCAAGTTCCTCGGATCTGCCTGGACATACCCCTCATGCTCAATTTTTGACAAAATCAAGCCAACCTCAATCTCAAGTGATACATCACACAGGGTTCGTTTTGGTATTCCAAATGTCAAGGATTCGTTGAATTGTGCATTGCGAACATTTCTTCTTGAAGCTGTCTTCTTTCGTTTCAAACGTTTCTCATCATTACCCATAAGCGATACTCTCATGGAAATAGCTAAAAATTTAATAATAGAATCATAAATTCCATGCAATCGTAATCTTTAATATCGTACATCCGTCTCCTCGGCATCGTAGATTCCGTGCTTTGAAAATATTCATCGTGAGGCGTTGTGCTTGAGAAAGGTATGCGAGCGAGAATAAAACTTCTCCATAACCAGACTGCAAAAAGCATTAATCAAGAAGGGTATAGTAATACACAGGTTAGAGACATTAAAGGGCAGCGGCTCGGCAGAATGAAAAATTTGCAAAATTCACCGTTCTCGGTTCCACCGGATGCGCTGAGTCCAAGACTGTGCTTTGCAGCTTCGAAAGATATCAGTAACCCGCTCCTCTGAAAAGTGCTATTTGGGCGGACCGCGTATGCCTGCCCTC